GCTCGTTCGATACGGCTTCGATACTTTCTGGGTGGTCGCAATTTTGTTGGCGTCGTGGTCCTTGAGTACGACGGGAGCAATCTAAGCGTCACGGCGAACAACACGACGGAAAAGTGGCTTGCGGCAGTTCTCTGCCCCCGGGGCCTTCACGGGGCCCTGGCACCGTCGAGAGGCAGCTTCCGGGAGCGCGCCTCGGGGTAAACAGCTGGTCCCGGGGAAAGGGTCGAGGCCTCAGGGGCGCCCGTTGTGAAAAGGCATGCCGTCGGAGGTCCAAGAGAATCGGGTCGGACAGAAGTCCGGATCGCTGAAAGGGGGGGGGTCTGGTCCGTGCGGGGGAAGCATCGGCCTTGAACCGCCCATGCTTTGCCGATGGGGCGCTGGGCCTCTTCTCCCGTCCAGGGCTCGGTTTCGCTATCGGAGGGGCGCGTCGCCGATATATATATATATATATATATATATATATATATATATTATATATATATATATATATATATATATATATATATCTCCGCAAGGCATGGCCGATTCGTCCATGGTGTCATCCGGGGAGGGAGTGGGGAGGATCGGCAGCCTGGAGGCGGAGCAGGAGGAGAGGTGGAGGAGGTTCGAGAATGAGGCGTGAGGAGACAGTAGGAAGGACTCTTTCCCCGCATTCCTCCCCCTCCCGCCTCCATCTATTTATATACTTCTCTCTCTCTCTCTCTCTCTATGTTTCAATATGTCTGTCTGTCTGTCTGTCTGTCTGTCTGTCTGTCTGTCTGTCTGTCTGTCTGTCTGTCTGTCTGCATGCATGCATGCATGCATGCATGCATGCATGCATGTATGTATGTATGTATGTATGTATGTATGTATGTATGTGTATATATATATTCATATATATATATATACATCTACATCGAGCTATGGCGCTTCGCGCCATGCACCTTGGTCCTTATGTTTGGCATGCAGGCGGAAGGGCATGACGGCAAAAGGAAACTGTTTGCATGTCCGACGTTGTCATTATAGTATCCGTATTCGCCATCCTTCGCTCATATTTCTTCTTCCTCATTCTCGCCCTACCCTGTGGATTCGTCCCCATCCTCAGCCTTTTCTGCGGAGGCTTCTCCTTGGAGAGCCTCTTGATGGCCTCACTAATTATAGTTTTTGATGGCTTCTTGGGGCCTTCTGGAGGCTTCCTGGGTTCCTTCCGGGGGCCTCTGGTGACTTCCTCGGGCCACCCTGCTTCCCAGCACGGTCTCATTGAACGACCAAGTTACGATTTGGAATGCTTCGGCCAGGGTCTTGGGGCCATCTTGGGCCGTCATGGGGCTCTCTTCGGGCCATCTTGGGGCCTTGTTGGGCAATATTGGGGCTCTCTTGGATTGCCTGGAAACCCTGTCGGGTAGTTTTGGTGTATTTTTCTGGCCTCCTGGGCGGTCTCGGACGCCCGGAAGACCGAAGAACAGAGCATTCCCAGAGTCAGATGAAGACCATTGGAAATCCATGCTTCTTTGCGTTTCGAAAGCCTCGTGGGGGTCTTCTTTGGGTCGTCTTCGGGCGTCTGGTGGGTGTCTGGGGCCTGTTGGGGCTCTCGCGGGGCCTTTTCGGCCGCCCTCCTGACCTATTTGTGTACGTTGCCAAGGTCCAGCATGGTCTTCTAGGTGCGTCCCGTTTTAGGGGGAGCAGAGGGGTCCCACCAGAAATGCGACACAGTACAATCAGCTAAAACCAGTTCGAACTTACTGTAATACTAATCCCGACCACTTCGGTAGTAATTCCAATCACTTTAGTATGAAGTCCAACCAATCTCCACCAGAAGCCCCACGCGCGCGCGCCTTCGAGGTATGCCCAGGACCAGTGGATTCATGGACTAAGCCACGCGGCTTGTGCTTCTTACAAGTCGACTCCACCCTGGGACCTACGAGTTGGCTTGGATATGTTGTTGACGTTCAGCGTGGGTCCTGCGCCGAGGTATGGAATGGGATCGACTCTGAACTTCCAGGGACACACGCCAGCGTGCACGACTCTTAGGACGATGGGGATCCGGCTTCCGAAACGCGGCACCTCAGTGAGACTGGTCCCAGGCTACCTCCGCTCAATATTTCTGAGTTTCGATCTGCGGCGATGCAGTTCCCGAAGAGGACCGCTATTGGAGCTGATCAATTCAGGCCTCGCCACCTGGGCCCTCGTGTCCAACGTTGCCATGCCGGTCACGGGGTACTTCTTATACCTCTGCGAGGTCTTTCGAGCTTGGCCAGCTGTATTGACCCACAGTCATATCGTCTTGTTAAGCAAACCGACGGGTGGATACTGACCCATCGCGCTCCTTACCTCACTGCATTGAGTTTGGGCCAGAGCTCGGGCGTCCTGGGTCCGAGCGTGGGCATCAAAGCTAATCCAGGACTACCTTGCTTTGGGGGCCAATCGATCTACCACCGCTGCAGCGGCCAGGGTCCTAGTCCGAGCTGAGAGTGGAGGCCGACAAGGCCCTGATGATCCTCGCCAAATCGCGAAGTTGGGGTTTGTATGTTGAGATGCCGTATGCTGAGTACAAGCAGTTCGCCTGAGACATCCTCGGAAGATGGGGATGCCGAAATCGTTGGTCGAATATTCGGACCTCCAAGAGAGAGTGTTTCGCCCGCGACATCCTCGAACAAATGGGTTGCGCCAAGAACTCTTGTAAGGCATCTTTCCGGAGCGATCTCGGATGACCTCCAAGATGGACCCCCAAGCCACATGATAGACAAAAACACGTTATTTCAAATTATGTCGTTAACACATCAGCGTTTCGCTCGAGGCATCCCTTCAAACATACCTTCGAACTGGCCCTCGAAACCATCTTGTTTCCTCCTCCTCCTCCTCCTCCTCCTCCTGATCCTGTTCCTCCTCCTCCTCATTCTCCTTCTCCTCCTCCTCCTGCTTTTCCCCCTCGGCCTCCTCCTCCTCCTCCTTCTCCTTCCTCCTCCTCCTCCTTCTCCTCCCCCTCCTCCTCCTCCTCGGTCTCAGCCTCCTCGTTCTCCTCCTCCTTTTCCTCCTCCTTTCCTTCTCCTCCTCGTCCTTCTTCTCCTCCTGTTCTTCCTCCTCCTCCTCCTCCTCGTCCACTTCCTCCTCCTCCTCCTCCTCCTCCTCCTCGTCGTCCTATGCTTCCCCCTCCTGCTCCTCTTTCTCTTCTTCATCCTCCTCCTCCCCCTCCCCTCCTCACCCTCTTCTCCCGCTGATGCTGCTGCTGCTGCAGCTCCTCCTCCTCCTCCTCCTCCCTCTCTTCATTAGCATCCTTCTCCGTCGTTTCGTCTTCCTCCTCCTCCGCTGGTCGTCGTCTTTGCCGTCGTCCTCCTCAGAAGGTGGAGTGAGGAGGAGAACTTGTGAAAGTTCGGGGGGCGCGTGTCCATACGTACCCCTGGTAAGCGTTCGGAGAGCTCGCCTATATTACATTTGATCGCGATGATGTTGCAAGTCCTTGCGCAACTCTTCCCTTTAACACGCTTTCCACCCATGTCAGGAAAGGTTTGACAAAATAAGCTTTTGGCTTGAGACGTGCTCGCCACATCGCGAAGTTGGGGGTCGTATCGTAAGACGTCCTATGACAAGTACAAGCGTTGCGCCTGAGACATCCTCGGAAGATGGGGATGCTGGAATCGGTGGTCCAATCTTCGGACCTCCAAAAGAGAGTGTTTCGCCTGAGACATCCTCGAACAGATGTGATGCGCCAAGAGCTCCTTTCTGGAGCGATCTCGGATGACCTCCAAGATGGCACAAGCAGCGAAATTACAGACACATACACGTGTGTTCAAAAATTTGCGTTCCGTTCGAGATGTCCCTAAAACGTGCCTTAGAATTGGCCCCCGAAATTATCCGATCTTTTCGTCCTCCTCCTGCTCCTGTTCCGCCTCCTCCCCACTCTCTTTCTCCTCAACCTCCTCCTCACCCTCCTGTTGTTCCCCCTTGGCCTCGTTTTGTTCCTCTTCCTGCTCTTCCTCCTTCCTCCTCTTTCTCGTTCTCCTCCTTGTCGTTCTCCTCCTCCTCCTCCTCCTCCTCCTCCTCCTCCTCCCCCTCCTCCTTATGTTCCTCATCCTCGTCCTGTTGCTCCTCGTCCTCCCCCTCGTCCTTCTTCTTCCTTCTCGTCGGTCTCCTCCTCCTCCTCCTTCTCCTCCTCCTCCGTCTCCTCCTCCTGCTCTTCCTTGTCCACCTCTTCCTCTTCCTCCCCCTCCTTCTCCCCCCCCTTCGTCCTTCTTCTCCTTCCTTCTCCTCGTCGTCCTCCTTTTCCTCCGTCTGCTCCTGTTCCTCCTCTTCCTCGTCCTCCTCCCCCCCCCCTCCTCACCCTTTTCTCCTGCTGCTGCTGGTACTCATCCTCCTCCTCCTGCTCGTCCTCCCCGGCAGTCGTCTTCGCCGCCGTCCTCCTCATGCGGAGGAGTGAGGAGGATAGTGAGGAATATGCGTGTGAACGTTCGGGGGGCGCGGTCCATATGCACCCCTGGTAAGCGTTCGGAGAGCTTACCTATATTACATGTGATCGAGATGATGCTGCAAGTTCTTGTGCAACTCTTCCCGTCCACGCGTTTCCCGTTCATGTCAGGAAAGGTTTGAAAAAGCGAGCGTGTCGCCTGAGACATCCTCACACATCGCGAAGTTGTGGGTGGCGTCTTAAGACGTCCTATGACAAAGATGAGCGTTTCGCCTGAGACATTCTCGGGAAATGGGGATGCTGAAATCGCTGTCTTAATCTTCGGACCTCCAAAACAGGGCGTGTCGCCTGAAACATCCTCGAAAAAAGGGATGTGCCAAGAACGCTTGTAAGGCATTTTGTTCGGAGCGATCTCGGATGACCACCAAGATGGCCCAAGAAGCAAAAGTATTGAACAAACCATGGGTCTTTAACATTTTCGTTTTACAATCAGCGTTTCGTTCGAGACATCCCCTGAAACACGCCTTCGAACTGGCCCTCGAAACTATCTGGTCCCCTCCTCCTCCTCCTCCTGTTCCTTTTCATCCTTCTCCTCTTCCTTCTCCTCCTCCACTTCCTCGTCCTTCTCCTCCTCATTCTCCTCCTCCTCCTCCTTCTCCTTCTCCCTCTCCTTTTCCTCCCCCTCCTCCTCCTCGTCCTCCTTCTCCTGTGTTTCCTCCTCCTCGTCCTCTTCCTCCTCCTCCTCCTCCTTATCCTACTCCTCCTCCCCTCCTCGTCCTCGCCTTCTTTCTCCTTCCTCCTTCCTCCTCCTCCTCCTTCTCCTTCCTCCTTCTCATCGTCGGTCACTTCCTTTTCCTCCCCCTCCTCCTCTTCCTCCTCCTCCTCTTCGTCCTCCTTCTCCTCTTCCTTCTCCTTTCTCCTTCTCATCCTCTTTCTCCTCCTCCTCCTTCTCCTCCCCCTCCTCCCCTTCTTCCTCCTCCTCCTCCTCCTCGCCGTCCTTGTCCGCCCCATCCTCCTGCTTATGTTCCTCCTCTTCCTTGTCCTCCTCCCCTTCCCTCCTCACCCTCTTCTCCTGCTGCTGCTGCTCCTACTCATCCTCCTCCTCCTCATCATCCCCTGGCAGTCGCCTTTGCTGTCGTCCTCCTCATGCGGAGGAGTGAGGAGGATAATGAGGAATATGTGCGTGAACGTTCGGGGGGTGCTTGTCCATACGTATCCCTTGTGAGCATTCGGAGAGCTCGTCTGTATTATTTTGATCGAGACGATGCTGCAAGTTCTTGCGCAAGTGCATCCCGAAGCTCGCTTGCAGATTCCGGGAACATCGCCGTTTCGTTCGAGACATGTTTGAAACATCGGGCTCCGGAGAGGACTCCTTCCGAGCCAGCATTCTTTGAGAGTCGTGCCCAGGGGTTTTCAAAACGACCCCAGAGAGCTTCTCGAGGCAAGAGGCACCCAGGGGCTCCCAAGAGCGCCCGAGGAGGCCCCAGGTCTGCCCGAGAGGGCCCCAAGACGGCCCCAGACAGCCCAAGATGACGCCAAGATAGCCTGATAGAGCCCCCATAGTCAAACGACGTGAAGATCGGGACAAAATCGGATCGGGATAACTCGAAATCTCTGAGAATCGGCGGGTTTGGAGGATGTATTGGGCGCCGCGGCCGCTCCAGAGCGTTCCGGAACGCTCTGAGAGCGCTCCGGAACGCTCTGGAGCGATTTATCCCGATCCTAGCCCTGTTTCACATAGAACCCTAAGACATGCCTAGACAGCCCAAGAAGACCCCAGTAGGCCCCAAGAGGACCCCGACAGGCCCCCAAGAGGTCTCCAGGATGCCCCAAGATAGCTCCAGACGGCCCCAAGAGCCCACAGGGTAGCCTCAAAAGATCACGAGGACCCCTCTCTTCTTCGACGTCCTTTTCGGTGGGCTCCTTACTGTCCTTCTTCGTCGTCGTCGTCCTTCTTCTTCTTCTCCTTCTTCTTTTATGTTTCTTCATATTAGTATTACTACTGTTCTTCATGATATTATTATTCCTCTGCTTCTTCATGTTCTTTTTATTCGGAGGTTGGGGGTGAGATCGAAGTGGAACGGAGAGCCCCCCTACCGGGAAATCGACTTCGGTTTCGTGTTCGTGCGTGCCGTGCGGGCGAGGCGAAGCTGCGTGGGCGGGCGAGAGAAAGTCTCCTGTGGCTGAGGCGCGTCCGGACCAAATGTCTCCCTTCCGGGCGGCCGGGGGCCCGCGGTGTCCCGCCGGTGTCCCGCTGGTGTCCCGTGTGGCTGAGGCGCGGCCGGACCAAATGACTCCCTTCCGGGCGGCCGGGGGCCCGCGGTGTCCCGCCGGTGTCCCGTCGGTGTCCCGTCGGTGTTCCGATGATGATAACGTTGATGATGATGATGATGATGATGATGATGATGATGATGATGATGATGATGATGATGATGATGACGGTGATGATGGTAAAGATGGTGATGGTGATGATCATGGTGCCCCGATGATGTTGATGGGAAGGATGCTGATAATGGTGATGTTGCTCATGATGATGGTGATGATCATGGTGTCCCGGTGATGATGATGATGATGATGATGATGATGAAATGATGATGATGATGATGATGATGATGATGATGATGATGATGATGATGATGATGGATGATGTCCCGATGATGATGATGTTGTTGATATCGATGATGATGATGGTGTCCCGATGATGATGGTGATCATGATGGGTATGTTGATGATGATGTTGACGATGCTGGTGTCCCGATGATGATGATTATGGTGATGACGATATTGTTGATGATGATGAGATGACGATGCAGATGATGATGATTGTGCTCCGACGATGAAGTTGACAATGATGGTGATGATGCTGATTATGCTGTCCTGGTGATGATGATGATTCTGATGGTGATGATGATGGTGATGACGATGATGGCCCCCCGATGGTGATATTGATGATGGTATGCTTGATTATGATGTTGCTGATGATGATGATGGTGCCCCGATGGATGATGATGATGATGATGTTAACAATGATGATGAAATGATGATGATGGTGTCCCGATGATGATGTTGATGATGATGATGTTGATGGTGATGTTGTTGTCGATGACGTTGATGACGTTGATTGTGAGATCGAATGTGATATCGATAGTGAGATCGATAGTGAGACCGAATGCGAGATCGATTGTGATGACGATTGTGATATCGATAGTCAGGTCCCTTGTCAGATCGAGCGAATGATATAGATCGAGTGAGATCGATTGTGAAATCGATCGAGTGCAATCGATCGAGCGAGACAGATAGTGAGATCGATAGTGAGATCGATAGTGAGACCGATAGTGAGACCGATTGAGTGAGACGTTGGTTCCCCCCCCCCCGAACCTCCTTATCACCCGAAGGGTGGTCGTATAGGTATTATGTGTTTTTTTGTATGTTCCTCATCTTCCTCCTCCTCCGCTTCGTTCCTCCTCGTACTCGTCCTCCTCGTCATCGCGCTTATCTTCCAACTCGTTGTCCTTCTGCCCCTCTCGCTGCCCTCCCCGTTATCCACGCGGCCATCCTCGACATCTGCCGCCTTGTCGTTGCAATCATCCTGTTCTCCTGGTCCCCCCATACGAGCCCAATGGACGAAATCGGCGTTTCCCGTTCTTGTCCTATCAGGTTTGTTTGTTTGTGTTGTTTTACGCCTCGACGCTGCACGCGAGGTCGCGACGCCAAAAGCTTATAAGCGGCGCATCTCTGCGTGTATCATCTATCCTCCTCCTCCTCCTCCTCCTCCTCCTCTTCCTCCTTCTCCCCTCTCTTCCACCTCCTCACCGCGGATGCGAGTGAATGGGCGAGGAGGAGGATAGGGAGGTGAAGAAAGATACGAGGGGAATATGAGGAAGGAGAAAATGAGGGGAAGGAAGGAGAAGACGAAGGGGAGACGATGTTGGAGTGCCGGGCACTTGGGCGTGAGGAGGAGGGGGAGGATGATATCGAGAGAATTCCCCTTCCCCTTCCTTCCCATCAGCCTCCCCATCTTCCTCCCCATTTCCCTCCGCCGACCCTCCTCCCACATCGCTCCTGCGCTAAAATTCTCATTCCACCTCCGCCATACCTTCCTCCTTCACTCCTCGTTCTCATTCCGCCTTCCTCCTCCTCCTCTGCCTCTCCTGCCGACCACGACGCCGGCGACGGCTACCACCAAGACGGCGGCACCCGGGACGGAGGCGACGGCGGCAAATGGCTGCGCCAGCGGCACCGGCGGCGGCGAGGCCAGCCAGCGACAGCGGCGGCGGCAAAGCGGCGACGGCACAGCAAAATGAGTGAGAGGGGGAAGAAGAAGAGAGGGGGAGGAAGGATAAGAATAATCATAATCATCACAACAAGAACGATAATAGTAATGATAACACGAACACTAATAATAATGATAGCGTGAATGGTCATACTAAGAATACCCTTACTAATAATGAGAATGAAGATCCTAAAAATAATGCGAAGCGTAATGAGAATTACAATCATAACAACCATATTAGAAACACAAATAAGAGCCATGGCCCATGATAATATGAAAAGGCGGGACTCGACTTCGATGGGTGAGGAGATGAGGGATGGGGGAGAGGCGTCACAACGGCAGCGCCGGCTTTCTGTGACAGCAGCGACGGCGGCGGCGGAGGCGGCGGCAGCAGCACCCGCGGCGGCAGCACCCGCCGCGCCTCCAGGCAGACGCGCTGCGCGAGCTGCGCGTCGGCCGCCGCCGAGGCCGCGGGGCCCGAGGCCCCCACCGCGGGGACCCCGCGGCCGAGGAGAAGCGTGTCGAGAAGCCGTTTGGGCGCTGCGTAATGGGGGGGTCATAAATGGGGGGGTGTCGCGGGTGGTCCGAAAAGGTACCCAAACGGTACCTAAACGAGCCCCCTCGGGCTCTGGAGGGGCCCGAAAGGGGCACGAAAGGGGACCTTTTCTGACCCCCCCATCTGTGACCCCCCCATTAAGCCACGCCCAACGTGTCGGGGCTCCAGAGACGTCGGGGGCGGAAAAGAGGGGGGTGATGACTAGGGGGGGGGGGGGGATTTCATGGCGCGGGCCATGATTTTTCCTCAGATTTCATGGCGCCTCTTCTTATCTCATTACGTCCCAGGCCCCCCCGCTGGGCCGCGCACATGCCGCCGGTCATGATCTGCACCCCCCCCTCTTGGACACCCCCCTCTTGGCCGCTCCCGAAGACGGGGGTCAATGCAAACGGGGGTCAGCCAGGGCACCGGATCCTGCAGGATCCTGCGAAGACCCCCTTTGGCTGACCCGGGTTAGCGAGCCGCTCGTGGGCGCGAGGCGGCCGCGCATATGGGCTGACCCGGGTGTGCGAAGCCTTGCGCTGCAGCTTTTTGTTCCTTGCATTGCAGTTTTTTGGTTTCCTGCTGACCCGGGTCTGGATCGACCCGGGTCTGGATCGACCCTGGTCAGAAGATCCCCGAGCGTGCCCTGGGTGGCCACAGCCCGAGGGATCTCCAGGCAAGAGCGCAGTATCGTGCAGCCGGCCCCTGTCCCCGTTCGCATCCCCATCCGGAGCCCTACCATCCCACCAACCCAGGTGGGGATATGCCCCTCGAAACCCGAAGGGAACAGCCGACATCCCCATCTAGGGGGGGAGCGTAAGACCCGGGTTTGCCAGGACTCGGGTTCGCCATCGTTTTTTGACGACCGCGCCTCGGATTTTGACGAGGAGGGGCTTCGTGGGATGTCTGCAGCGGGAGGCCTCGTCAAAATGCAGGCTCGGCCTCTTCATTTGTTTGACGACCTCGTCGGGGATTTCCGAGTCCCCCGTACCCGGGTCTTACGTCTCCCCGAATCTAGGGGGGTGAATCGGCCATTGGGGCTCAGGTCACGCCTGGAGGGATAGGGATCGGCTGAACGATGCTCAAGAGCGCCGGTCGGCACCGGACATTCGGGGCCCGTCAACTTACCACCGCACCGATCCTGGCTGGGCCTAGTTCTCCTGAGCCCAGGACTGATGTCCACGCCTCGTTGAGAAAGTTGATGTAGATGCCTTGGCCGTCATGGTGACCATGCACATTTGCGAGGATGGCGCAAACATGGCCTCTTCCCTCCTGACTGCCAGCGCAGGGCTGGTGGGCTGCAGGCAGGGCTCTGGGCGCCAGGCGCCGGGGGGCCTCATCCTCCTCAACCTCCTCCGCCTCCGCCTCCACCTCCGCCGCCTCCCTCAAACTCATGAGCGCGTGCTGTGCCATGCCGATCCTCGCGGATGGCTTGGTCGACTGCTACCACCCAGCGGGCGAGCTGAATGTCCTTCTCCTCTCGCGCCTTGACAGACGTCGGCCATTCCAGCCTGCTCTGGAGAGCATCCATTGGCGCCGCACGCGGCCAGGCCGCCCATCGAAGGCTGCTACACTGATCAGCATGTAAATCCACTTTCCAGGTGACGTCCTGCGCCACGGGCCCTCGCCCGCAACAGCGCCCCCTTTGTGCAAGGCCATGGGCGAGCCGTGCCCGCAGCCTCGCGGAAGAAACCGGGCATCTACTGAATCATCTCCGACATTTTCTTCTGCTTGATAGGGTCGTACGGGGTGCCCGCGCACTCCGCTGCATCGCGGCGGCGGCCACACTGCCAAGCAGCGCAGAGTTGCCGGCGTCGGCTTTCCCCGCAGGAGGCGAGGCCACTCCTTCCGAGGGCTTCCACTGCGGGGTGCGCCTGCCGCAGGGTGGTGGTCTCCCCAATGCCCGGGCGCGCCCAGGTCCAAGCTCCTCCTCCTCCTTCTCCTCCTCCTTTTCCTCCTCCTCCTTCTCCTCCTCCTCCTACTCCTCCTTCTCCTCCTCCTCCTCCTCCTCCCCCTCCTCCCCCTCCTCCTCCTCCTCCTCCTCCTCCTCCTCCTCCTCCTTCTCCGTCCGGGCCAGATGCGGACACGAGGCGCCACCCCAGCCGCCCTCCGAGGGCCACGGCAGCTGCTCTGTGACGTCGACGTCCGCGATCCACTTCTCCAGCGTGCGCGCCGCGGCCCCGACGGCCATGCGCCCAGCAGCGGACGCCGCGCCCGCGTCCTCCCAGCAGCACCTTCGGGTGAGCGGCGGCCGTGAGGGGCGCCGCAACGGAGCGACGGAGCGCGTGCTGCGGCCTCTGCGTGCCAATCTTCCGCGGGAGGCTAACGGGCCAGGCATATGCATACATATATATATATATATACATACATCGGAGGTTGAGTGGTGAGATCGGAGTGGAACGGAGAGCCCCCCTACTGGGAAATCGGTTTCGGTTTCGTGTTCGTGCGTGCCGTGCGTGCGGGCGAGGCGATGCTGCGTGGGCGGGCGAGAGGAAAGTCTCCTGTGGCTGAGGCGCGGCCGGACCAAATGATTCCCCCCCGGCAAACGCGGCCGCGCGGTGTCCCGCCGGTGTCCCGCTGATGTCCAGGTAAGTCTCTTGTGGCTGAGGCGCGGCCGGACCAAATGTTTCCCGACCGGCAAACGGGGCCGCGCGTTGTCCCGCCGGTGTCCCGCTGGTGTCCCGGTGTCCCGCTGGTGCGAAAACGATAGTGATACCGATAGTCAGATCGATTGTGAGATCGATTGCGAAATCGTATTGAGATCGATAGTGAGATCGATCGAGTGAGATCGATGGTGAGATCGATTGCGGGATCGATAGTGGGAGCGATAGTGGGATCTAAAAAGATCCACTCTGCTGAACTTGAAGTCGTCATCCCCACTGCTCGCGCAAACATCCCACCCACCCACTAGCAACTTGGTTTGCAAAACCTCTTCTTGAGACCGACTACGACGACGCCGACGACAACGAGTACGACAACACCGACGACGTTTCCGACGACTTCGACGACGACAACGACGCCGACGCCGACGACGATGAAGACGACGACGACGACGCCAACGAAGACGACGACGAGGGAGGAGGAAGGACGACGACGGCGACAACGACGACAGCGACGACAACGACGAGGGAGGAGGGAGGACGGCGACGACGCGAACGACGAAGAAGGAGGAAGGACGGCGACGCCGACGACGACAACGACGAGGGAGGAGGGAAGACGACGACGACAACGACGACGACGACGACGACGGCGACGAAATAGGAGGGACGACGACGAGACGCCGACGACGGACGACGACGACGACGAGGGAGGAGGAGGAAGGACGACCACGGCGACAACGACGACGGAAACGACCACGACGCCAAAGAGGACGACGACGACTAACACGAGGAAAGAAGGACGCCTTAGACGACGACGACGACGACTCGGGAGGAGGGAGGATGGCGACGACGACGACGACGACGACGACTCAAGAGCGCGCGCGCACGAAAATCCGTGTTGCGAAACCTTGGGTTTTTGCAATTTTTTTGGACACACGATTTTGAAATCCTTCCGAAACCGATGGGTTTTGAAGGTTTTCGGCATACGCGCGCGACGACGCGCGCGTCTGCACTTCGTCCCGTTGTTTTGCAGAGGATTCTCGCGACGGCACACGCGCAATGGCGTTCGACAGATTTCGACATGCGCGCGCGCGAAGCCCGTTTGGCACCACGTTGTGAAAATCTTAGAAAAACCATGGTTTCCTTAAGATTTCGCAAGAGCTCGCGCGGAAGCTTTTTTAGCAAATCAGTGTTGCGAAACCCTGTGTTTTTGTATGTTTTTTGGGAAACTCGATTTTTGAAGGATTTCGGCATGCGCGCGGGACGACGCGCGCGTGCGCACTTCGTCTTATGTTCCGGAAGGGATTCGCGAAAAAGTGTTATATTCGAACAACAAATGTTACCGCATAGTGTTTTTGTTTTACAAGGGGACCTCGGGGGGGATACCGGCCGGCCTGGGATAGTGTAAATTCAGATTTCGGATGGACATGTGGTAAGAATCATATATGTTTTGCATACCCGAAAGGGGGATTGATAACGCCGGGGGGGTAGATCCTATTCTGTTTTTAGAACGGAGAATCCATGGAGAAATATCGATAGTGAGATCGACCGAGTGAGATCGATAGAACGATCGATCGTGAGATCGATAGTGAGATCGATGGAGCGATATCGATAGTGAGATCGATAGTGAAATCGATGGAGTGATATCGATAGTGGAATCGAAAGTGGGATCGAAAACGAGATCGAGAGTGAGGTCGGCAATGAAATTGATCGAGTGAGACCGATAGTGGGATCGATCGAGTGAGATCGATAGTAAGGTCAATAGTGATATCGATCGTGGAATCGATAGTGAGACCGATAGTGAGATGCACATCGAAATGCATATCGAAACGCAACTCGGCATTCATATCGATAAGCACATGCAAATGCAAATCGTCAGGCACATCGACATCCCGTGCTGTATGCTGTGCCAAGATCGAGCGGCAACGCAACAATCTCTGAACACCAATGCTGCCAGTACGAACGTTGGCGGAACAGGCTCTTAAGGGTCGCTCCAAGAAGCTCCCGGGAGGCCGTAAGAGGTCCCCAGGAAGCCCAAAAAGGCTCCCAAGAGGCCGCCCAAGAGGCCCCCAAGAACCCCCCAAGGGGTCGAAAAGACGAGCCCAAACGGCCCCCAATGCCCTTGCTAAATGAACGAAATCATGTGTGATTTCGCTCCTTCCCAGGGGGGGAAGGGTAACTAGGCGCCCAAGAGCGAAGGTTTACGTAAACAACTCGACACCATGGTTCCCAAGAGCGAGTCCGAAACGCAACTATCTCTGAACACCAAGGCTCCCATATCGAGTGGGATCGATCGTGAGATCGATCGAGTGGGATCGATAGTGTGATGGATCAACTGGGATCG